TCTCACTCTTCATCTTGATGATGTGTGGACGGGTGGGGGGAGGGAGCTGGAACCGGTTCTAAACAGCACAGTAGATTTGTGGAACCTCTTCTATAGAAGAGGTTAGAACTGGCAGGAACCCACCCCTAACCCATACTAATTGGAAGTTTTATTGCACTTGTGATTCTCGATAGTCTTCCACAGTTTGGTGTTTGGCAGATATTTTGAACTTAAACTTCCATCATTCTTCAATCACAGCCATCGGGTACAGCTGATGGATTATGGGAACTGAAATGAATCACTTTGGAAGAGCATCATCAGGCTGAGGAAGATTATCCTAAGAAAGGAGGTCAGTCTATCTGTCTATCTAATCTTCACCATTGAAGGCTGGATTAGATTATGAGCAAGGAAGTGCATTTTAAAGAGGTGGTTCTCTCAAGCTGTTTCACTGTTACCCTGCACCACCTGTCTTGGATTGTAGACATGAATTCAGGACTTACCTTGCCCCAGATGAAAGCTCCTAGCAGGTTGTTGTCTCCGAAAGGGTTGTCAGTATTGGTGTAACCCATATACTCTTCTCCCCATCCCATCTTCTCCCGTTTTTTTCGTTCCTTGGCCTCCTTCTTGGCTAGACGTCGGGCCCGTTTCTCTTCAGGGGTTTCAAGAGCCTTCATCAACTCCTTTTGGTTCTTTTGGTCTTCTTTCAATCTCAAGCGTTCCTGGAGGCTTAGCTGCTCACCCAAGTCACCCTTGGAGCTCTGTGAGCGGGAAGGTGACGGGGATGACATGGAAGACACCGAGGACCTGGATTCAGAACGCTTCTGGTACTTGTTCTTCCCCTTCCTCTCACTTTTATGGCCCCTTTTTTCTGAAGAGGAATCCGAGTTGGAGGACCGTTCCCAGTGACGTGAAGAGTGACTCTTGTGCCTCTTGTGATGCTGGTCCCTCCTTTTTTCTTTTTTCTTTCCCCATTTCTGGTTGTCTTCCCCTGAGCTTAAAAAGAAAAAACTCTGGTGTTAGTTTAAAACAGGTAAGAAACAAGTGGCCTGTGAGACCTGTCTCTGTGGTCCTTACAGCCTCCTCTGAGCATAACTGTTGCAAAACAAAAATGAAAAGAAGAAAAATGTATTCTAAGTTTTAAAATAAGCAAATAGGCAAAACTGTTAAGAGCAGCCTTGGCACTCAAATGTTCCCCACACTTGTTATATATCTACATTTCTGCATTCAACTTAAAGATCTAATTGGGTTAGCTAAATCAGCATTCATCAATACATTACTCCCACCAACCCGAATTGCCAAAAATTCTGTTGAACATGGCTCTGAATTTATCTCCACAAAAATCTACTGATGCAAAGTCTGTACTGAGGTGATTTGAACTGAAAATGCTGATATCTTTCTCTGGCTTTTTCATATGCCCCTTAAGGTTGACATGAGGGTGAATTTCAGCAGATTATCTGCTTTTTCTTTGTTTGTCACAGGGAAATAAGAGAATCCATTAAATCCTGATTACAATGAGTTGCTGGACACTTCTCAGAGAGCTTTCTCTCTTTGTGACAAGTAGCTTATAGTGAAATGGGATTACAATCATTTATTCCCGAAATCCAATTGTTCTGAAAATAATCCTCAATATGTATAACTCTTTCCATATGTTTTAATTTATTAAGCTTCCACTTCCCTTTGCTCTTTTTGTTACCTAATTCATGCAGCAAAATAGACTCATGCTCTATTAATGAAGACCAATATTCTGTAAGATTCCAGTGGGGAAAAAAATTTGGTTATGCAGATAGTCCTCAATTAGCAGCTATCTCATGTAGCGACCACAGTTACAATGGTGATGAAAAAGTTAACTTCACAACCATTTCTTGCATGTTCAACTTTTGCGTATCCATAAAGCAAAGAAAAGCACAAGATCTTAATCATAGTCGCAGTTTCATTTAGCAACAGATTTGCTTAACAACAATGTACCAATTGGGATTGCTAAATGAGGATTATCTGTATTGTATTACATTCTACATTCTACTTCTCTTTCTAAAAAAATCACGTACCTGGATAGTGTAGCAGTAACAACAGTGGATACTGTTATTATATTGTTATTGAGACTACTGGGTTTTGAGCTCTAGCACGTTGGTTCTCAATTTTGGCAAGTTTAAGATGGACTTCAACTCCCAGAATTTCCCAGCCTGCATACTGGGAGTTGGAAGTCCATACATCTTAAACTTGTCAAGATTGAAAAGCACTGGCCTAAAGGTAGAACTTATGGAGTTCTACCATGAAATATGGAGTTTCATACTTTCACTTCCAAGACTGCTTGGGATGGAAGGCAGCAGACACTACTTCAGAAAGCTTCGCTACCTTCAAAGTTATCTCTGAATGAACTGAATGAAAAATTGCTGGTGACCATCTACCGCTGTACCATAGACAATATTTTAACTTACTGCACCTGTGTATGGTTTGCCAATTGCACCGTGGCAGATAGGACAGCACTCAAGATAGTTAATGTCATTGCCCAAAGGATCATTGGTTGTCCTCTCCCCTCCTTGGAAGAGCTTTTATAGCTCCCACTGCCTTATGTTCAAAACATTCTTAAAGATCCATCTCATCTTGGGCACCCTTTTTTTTTTAACTATTACCATCTGGCAGACGGTACAGGATAATAAAAACAAGGACAAATAGGCTGAAAAACAGGGCAGTAACTATGTTGAATTCTACTGTATAATGCAATATCAATGCAGTATCAGGGGTTTTCAATTCAATTGTATAGAATGCGAAGGATTTGTGTGTTTTATTTTTTTTAATAATTTTCTTATGTATGATGTACACTGAAGATGGCATTTAATTTTGCTGCACGACGTGCAATGACAATAAAGTAAACTTAAGCTTAAGTTATCTCTATGTACTCAGAGGGATTTGCTCCCCAGTTCATTACCCGTTAAAAACTGATCCGCTGCTTATCCAATTTTCACAGGATAGGAAACGGGGCTTGGGGTTTTAAATCCTCAACTGGTAAACTCTTATCTGTGTCCAGCTCCCCAAATATACGCCATTCACTCTAAGGAAGAGGCATCCACCAGC